TGTAATTGGTCAAGCTGGAGTCACTTTGGGGACAGTAACATTAAAGTTAGATCCTTTCAGAAATTGTGTCATATATGTATGTATGTATGTATGTCTCGCGCGCGCGTGTGCTCCGCCGGCTCCTCACGCGGCGGCCGGGGCCGCCTCCTCCCACCCTCTCTCCCTCCCTCCCTCCTTCCCGGCCTCCCGAGAGCCGGCCGCGCCGTCGCCTTCCGCGCCGCGCGGCGTCCTCCGGAGCTCAGCGCGGGTGAGTGGGGGCCGCGGGCCGCTCCGGAGGAGTGCGGGCGGGCTGTTCCCGGTGCCTTTTCCTTCCTCCCCTCCTCCGGCGGGCCGTTGCCTATTTTTAGAAACTCTTTTTTTCCGGCCGTCCGGGGAGTCCTGGGAGCCGGCGTAACTCTCGGCCCCCCTCCCTCTGAGCTGCCCCCCTCCTCCTCCCAGGCCCGCCGCCCCCGGGGTCGCCTGCCCGGGGCCACCTGCGCTCGCCCCCGGCCGCCCGGCGATCGCAGCTTGCTTCTGGTCGGCCAGCGGGGCCGGGGCCAGGAGTTGGGGGTGGGCGGGCGCCCGCTCGGAAGTTGGAGTCTTTTGTGCTCGCGCCCCGCCCCGCCCGGCGAGGGGAGGAGGGGAGGGAGCGGAGGTTGCGCCGGGGAGGCCTCGGGCGGGCTGGGGCCTGGCCCTGGCCTCGGTCGGGGGACCCCCGGCTGCTTCCGGCTTCCCAGCCCCGGCCGGTTCTTTGGGTTCCCTTAGGCGCGCAAAACTGGTCCTTCCCTCCCCCCTCCCATCCCCCCCACGGGTGTGAGAGCCTCGCCCGCCACCCTGGCCCAGCCTTTGGTCGTTGTCACCTGGGGCGCGGAAGGGAACGACCAGCCCTCGGACTGGGACTGGGTCCCACACTTGATTGCAGTCCTCTGCGCGGGAAGCCTCAGTGTTCTCCTTGGTGAAATGGGGTCAGGAATTGACGCGGCCTCGGAGGGTGTTGGTGAATTCAGGGAGGGAGTTAGTACATGGACAGGAGCGTGAAATGCCAACAGGTAACGTCCTATGAGACCGACCCAGCAACTTCGTGGATGTGTCGCCAAATGTCCACAGTGGTCTTCCAGAGTTGTCCTTACTCACAGGAGCAGAAATCGAGGTGCAGAGAAATGAAAGTGCAAAGCTGTTAGTAACTTATTTGCCGATAGGAGCATGTGTCAACTCCTGTGCAGAGGGCATTTTGATTTACCGTTAGGATTAACACCGTATAGTTAAGAAACATGAACTCTGGGCTCCTCCCTGAGACATTGACCTATCTGCTCCTTTTGCTATCAGAACTCTGAGGGAAAGGTGATTAGGATGATTTTTTTTATTTAATTTTTATTGTTGCTAGTGGTGTGGTTAGAAAGACCCAGAGATCTATAAGCCTCAAGCACAGATGAAATTCTGAGCTTATGGATCTCACCGAAGTCCACCGTTTACTTTATGGCATGCCTCCCTCTTCTGCCAACCTCAAGTGTTATATGTTCTCCATGATCTTAGTTGGAAGGTCAGGGATGTAGGTAGCTCAAGTCAATGGCTTCAACTCCCTGCCTTCAAATAGTGTTATTTTTGTTTCCAATAAGGCCTAGAGGGGGTAAAGGGAACTAAAATTAACTTTGGTGACTGTTTTCCTTGGGCAGTGAGTTTGATGCTGGTTGTGGGGGGATCATCTGAAAAGTCAGACAGGGCTGAGTCTTGAGGAGACCTCGTGTTTGCACTTGTTCTTCGGACCTGTAGGTCTGCTGTGCTTCACCCATCCTTAAGAGTCTAGATGAGTAGTGGAATATGGGAGGTGGATGGCTCAGTAGACCACCCCTTCTTTGCTTTTAACTGATCCTTGAAAGGGGAAGGTTGTCTAAACAAATTGACTACCTTGGTGATTACTAGACTTTCTGGTAGCCTTTCTTTCAGTCAGTTTTTTCCCTCTCCCATATGTTGTCGTTTGTTGAACATAAACTACTTTTTCAGGCCTCAGGATCAGGAGTCTCAGGTTATTGGACATCTCAAAAGACCTTGTGTAGTCTCAGCCTCTTTCTGTACCTCATGTCTAAAGGGCAGGTGTCTGTCTGTGTTTGCTTTAGTTATCACATTTGTTTTAGTTTCCTACTGGGTTAGGTACTCTTCTGTAACTTAATCTGGATTCTAATTTAGTGTGAAGTAGTTTGCAGGGCTTGACTTATGTCTTTGTGGTGTCAGGCAGTAGAGACAGATTAGGACACTTGCCTTAGGACCCCAGAATTTAACTGGTGGTGACATCTACAAGGAGCTTAGCCATTCCTTGTGGCCCTTTGAGTCTGTTTCCTTATGTGTAAAGTCTCTTAGGGTGCTCTGGAGACAAAATGATTGTGAAAATGCTTCTTACAGAAATAACATCTATGAGTCTGTCATAGGACTGAAGATTTTTCCTGGGCCATGTCATTTGATCCTTGTAACAGTCTATGAACTAAGTATTACCCCTGCTTTACAGAAGAAACAGGCTTAGAGAAGTGTTACATGACTTGCTCAGGGCCATGTAATTGGTCAAGCTGGAGTCACTTTGGGGACAGTAACATTAAAGTTAGATCCTTTCAGAAATTGTGTCATATATGTATGTATGTATGTATGTATGTCATATTTTAAACAGTTGGCATCACAACAGTTTTACAGTGTGCAAGTCTATGGGATTAAGTATATTTACATTGTTGTACAGCTGACATCTCCAAATTATCTTAACCTTCCCTAACTGAAACTCTCCTGGTCAAACACGAAGTTCTTGTTGAAGACACCTGGCAAACACCATTCTGTTTTCTGCTGTAAATTTGACTACGAGGACCTTCACACTGAAGTGAAATAATTCAGTCTTTGTCCTTTTGTGACTGCCAAAGCTAGCATTGCCTGTCTTCATTTCACCGTGTTCAGTAAATTCAGAATGATTTACTAGTTCTCATCTGTGGCAGAGAATGACATCCCTAGAGCAGGAATCCAGGCCCGGTTGAACTCCAGCAAAGCCCCCTTCGTCACAGTACAGTTGAAGCTTTTTTTGCTGAAGCCAGTTCTGGAATTATACTAGCCCCTGTATTTTCAGAGGAGACTTTCTATCCTTGAACTAGAACCCAGACTATTCCATATTCTCTGTGCATGCTTATTTGGCCATTCAGGGTTTGGCATATAACTGTAGTGATCAGAATAGCAGAACTATGACAGCAGCTTGGATTAAAATTGGTCAGCTGATTAGGTGGATTAATTACCTCAATGACAAGCTCCCCTTTTGTGTCCCTCTTTTCCTAAAGGCACACAGAAAGGATTAGAGTGTGGAGTCTAGAGTCTTAGATGTTATTGTTCCTCACTGCTGTAGGTGGTTAGGGTGGGGTTAGGTGTTACATTTAGCCTTTCAAAATTCACTTTGGTTAATGTTTCTGTGTCTTTATTTATTTGTTTGTATGTTTCTCAGACAGGGTTTCTTTGTGTAGTTTTGGTGCCTGTCCTGGATCTTGTTCTGTAGACCAGGCTGGCCTCAAACTCAGATCTGCTTGGCTCTGCCTCCCAAGTGCTGGGATATAAGGCGTGTGCCACCAATGCCTGGCTATTTCTGTGTCTTGTTGTGAGATTTTTATATTTATGAAAGTTGGCTGGAATTTTGTTCTGATAGTGATGTGGCTTTGGAGTAGGGAGTGTTCCATAGATGGGGAATAGAACAACAAACATGATTATGTTATGCTCTCTAAAAATCTGATAGCCCACTTTATCTACTAAAGTCGAATGTGTTGAATAATGTGTTTGATAAAGTGCCATTTTTTTTCTTCTTTTGTGGTGCTTGAGATTGAACATGGAGTTTATGCGTAGATTTGTTTTTATTTTATGTGTTTGGGTGTTTTGTCTGCATGTTTTTCTGTGCACCATGTGCATGCAGTGCCTAAGGAGGCCAGAAGATAATGTCAGATTCCCTAGACAGACTGGAGTTTCAGATAGATATGAGCTACCATGTGGGTGGTGGGAATTGAACCCAGGTCCTCTGAAGAGCAACCAGTGCTCTTAATCATTGAGCAATCTCCAGACCTTAGATAGACCTTGGATAGGTCTGCTTGGCTGTTTAAACCAGACTTCTTTTTAACATTCCAAATGTAATTGTTTCAGTGGACACATCATTATTGGAAAGTTTTTTTTTTTTTTTTTTCATTTCTTGAATTAAAAGTTTTTTTGAGAAAGGGTTTTACTATGTAGCTAAGACTGTCTTGGAACTTGGGGTACTTCTCCTCAGCCTGGAGTTACAAGAAGTATCACTGATGATGCCTTCCTTCAGAGACTAGTTTTGAGGCATTTACTAAACAATACTAGGCTTGAGGATTTGGGTACATACAGTGAGGCAAAAAACAGGCATATAAGAAGTGTTGTGATAAGGATAGGATCATAGAGGAATGACATCCAATTCAACATTACTGGGTCAAGAAGGCATCCTTGGAGAAGCTGGCTAGGCCTAAACACAAACCAGGAAAATGAAATTTGGGGAGCCACAGTAGAGGCAGAGATAGGACTATTCAAGGCAGAAAGAACTGTAATTCTAGAAATGGTAATAATATTATGTGAGACTTTTGGTTACTTACTGTATCAGGTACAGTTGTAGACATTTAACATTTGTTAACCTCTTCCCTGAGAGGTAGCTAAAATTATTATTGCCATCCTGTAGGCGAGGAAACTATCTCAGAGGGATTAAATGAATTTGTCAAGATTCTCGGATGAGTGGATGTGGTGGTAGCGAGACTGTCAAGGTAGACAGAGTAGAAGTCAGCTCACAGAAGGGCCCTGTTGACTGTGTGAAGGACACTGAACCTTCTTAGCTTGAGGTGAGGGGGCCCATGACTTTGTGCATCTTTTGGAGGCTATTTCCGGTAACTTACTAGGGGAGTGGACTGAGAGCTAGAGCACTATGGGTAGAGACCAGTTAGACAGGTGCAGTATCACTGGCCCAAGGTTCTGGTGTTTCAGATGACGAAAACCACAGAGTTATGTATACGTGAAAAAAGTGAACCAAGTAATAAGGAAGATTGTTGGAGTGGAGGATATGGAAAGAAGCACATTTTAATCAGTTCTATAGTTGAAGTTTTAAGTGGCAACCAAAAAAGGAATACAGAAGGGAAAGGGGAGGATTTGTCATATAGGGTGGTTATCTTACTCTTGTTTCATTAATCTCTATTATAGACACCAGTTCTTTATCAGAGCTGGGGCCAGTGGTGAAGGGAGATGGGGGTTAGTGTGACTTCTGAATCTAGTTTGGCTAACCCAGCAGTCACAACCATCGGAAATATGTGCTTTCCAATGGTCTTAGGCACTGAGACACCACTCTGAAGCAGAATTAGTTATGAAGTAGCAATGAAAATGGCTGGGGGTCACTATAACATGAGGAACTGTATTAAAGGTTCAAAGTGTTAGGAAGGTTGAGAACCACTGGGCTAAACTGAGTGGTGGAAACCCTAGTTGTGGAAAGGGAAATATTAGTTGCTAAGCATGTAGATTCTGTCCAGCTGCAAAGACTGCTTTTGTTAAGCCAGGATAATCTTATATTTTCCCTAGACAACATCTTGTAACATACTCTTATGTTCTGGTATGCTGTTTTATAAGTTTTATTACCTTAGCTAGGCACCAGAAAACCAAAAAATGAGTAAAAGAGCCCAAGGAACTCCTTTTCTAGAAGAGCAACAGATTTTAGTGACTTTGATAATAGCGGAGTGGGGAGAGGAGTGGATGATGGGCTTGAGCAAGACAGAACAGGGTGGGACTGTATCAGGGACTTTCTTATTAGGGATAGGAGTCTAGAGACCTGCTTTTCAGACTTTCTATTAGGTGACAAATTTTCAGGTTTGTTCATCTGAATAACTAAGGTCCTTTCTAGCAGTAATGTTGGATGACTAGGTCATTTAGAGACACACACACACACACACACACACACACACACACACACACACACACACACACGAGTATGATGTATTTGTGTCAGTTGGCATGTCTGTATGGCTTAAGTGTCTTTTGGGAGTTGATTTTTTTCCTTTCACCCTGCATTCTGAGGATCCAGTCATGTCCTCAGGATCTGCAGTGCAGGTACTTTGACTTGCTGAACCATCTAGCTGGCTCTGGAATAGATAA